GAATCGTACGGTGTCGAATAATTTGGTGTCGAATAAATCTGTGTCGAATCGAGCGGTGTCGAATCGTACTGTGGTCAAACGGAACACGCCCCTCACAAACCTGTGGGGGTCCATGTACGCAGGATGCACAACATGTGTGCGCACGTCCGATGGGTGGACGGCACTAATCCCCATCCGCTCTGGAGTCAAACAGGGATGCCCATTAAGCCCCATCGTATTTGACTTCGCAATTGATTCTGTGCTGCGCGTGGCCACCGCAGAAAACGCGGGGTATACCATCTTAAGGCAGCGGTAGTCCGCATTAGCGTACGCGGATGATATCGCACTAGTAGCGGAGACTCCAGAGGGGATGCGACGACTTCTCACCGTTGTGGAAACCGAGGCGCGGTCGATAGGTCTGCGATTCAACCCCGCGAAGTGTGCAAGCCTGCACATCCGAGTGGGGAGAATGGATCGCGTCCTCCCGACCCCTTTCAAGATCCAGGGAGAAATGATGCAATGCCTGGCAGAAGGAGAAACATATAGGCACCTCGGCATTCCGACAGGGTTTCCGTCGATCAGAACCTTTATTCTACGATCCAGGGCATGATGGAGGACTTGCAGCGCGTCGAGCGCTCGCTGCTAGCCCCGTGGCAGCGAGTCAAGATGGTGGCTACTTACATCCTGCCACGTCTCGACTTCTTGTTGCGGGGTGCCAAGGTGGAGAAGAGCCTCGTGAAGATCGTGGACAAGCAGATAAGGAGACTGGCCAAGTCGTGGCTCAACCTCCCTCAGCGCGCCAGCGCGGAGGTAGTCTACCTCTCTCCTAACAAGGGGGGCTGTGGCCTGCTTCCGCTCGCTGACCTTGCCGACGTCCTGACAATAGCGCACGTCTTCGGTGTTATCACGGCTGGCGACGCTGGAGTCAGAATTTTGGCGTGGGCGTCGCTGAGGGGAGTGGTTCAGCGGCGAATTGGTTCAATACCAACGGAGCAGGACATCACTTCGTGTCTCTCGGGCTTGCTCGAGAGAAAGTTCCGCGACGGTGGAGAGCGCTCTCTTTGGTCTGATGCGCGAAACGCGTGTAGGCGGCAGTCCTCCAGATTGCGGATCCGCTGGATGTGGGCGGAAGAGACGCGGGAGCTTTTTCTGGAGTGTCGGGGCACGGGGGGTAATCTGGTGAAGATCTCACCAGAAACGCGGGCGCAGGTCATCCATGCACTACGCCTGGCTATCGCGTCGTATTATACGAGCACATTGCTCGCTAAAAGGGATCAGGAGAAGGTGTTTGAGGTGGCCATGCGTCATGGAGTGAGCAATCACTTTATGCGCACTTCACCCGCTTCGCTGACTGGCGCTTCTTGCACCGAGCCCGATTCGACGTGTTGCCGCTCAACGGCGCACGTCGGTAGGGGTAGGGCGATGCGCGTTATTGGCATTGCGGAGGAGGTGCCGAGACCCTTCCTCATGTGATCAATCATTGTGGGGTTCATTCCGACGCGATACAGCTCAGGCACGATGACCTGTTGCTACGATTAGCTAGGGCCACCCGTCTGCCAAGTGAAGTCCGATTTAACCAGCGGGTCGAGGGGGTCGATCACGAATTGGCGAATCTTCGGATTGACCTCGTGATTCGTTACAAGCAGTTGCAGTCGATTATTAGTATTGACGTTACGGTGCCCTTCGAGAACCGTCGTAAGGCGTTCGATGAAGCAAGAGCGAGGAAAGTCGCCAAGTACACTCCTCTTGCTGAGGCCCTCACGCGGGAAGGGTACCGTGTGGTAGTCACGCCGTTCGTGGTCGGCTCCCTCGGCTCATGGGACCGGAGGAATGAGGCGGTGTTGAAGCTGCTGTGTGTTTCTAACACGTACGCAGCGATGATGCGCCGTCTCATGGTCTCCGATACCATACGCTGGTCGCGGGACATTTACGTGGAGCACGTCTCCGTGGTGATGCAGTACGCGGCGGCTGCTTGGTTACCCGGCGGAACGCTCCGAGACAATACGCGAGCGATTCGCCGACGCTACGGGGAACGGGAGATGGTGATCCTGGCGCATCATGGGCGCCAGGAATAGGGTCCTCCTCTCCCGCTTATGTATTGTTTATGTATTTATTTATTTATTTATTGCGTCTTATTTATTACAAGTGTACATGTCGCGTAAGTTATTATTGGGCCATTTTTAATTTTATTTTTATTTTTATTTTTATCACATATTGCTTTTTATTTTTGTATTGACTGCGTTTTTCGTTATTTTTATTTTATTCTTCGACGTTTATGTTATTTTTATGCGGGCCCCCGTGTGTGAGTGTCGCGAACTCTTTAATTGTATTTTACCCAAGTGTAAATGTCGCGTATTATTACTTTTGTATTGTAGTCGCGAGTGTGTATTCCGCGTTTATTTATTCATATACTTGTAACGGTCCTACTTTTCTGAAAAAAAATTCGTTCCGTTCGTTTGAAGGTTTAATTCGATTTGCTGCGGAGTAGCTCGTCGGAAACGGGAAAAGAATAGACAGAAAAGAATGACTCGCGGTGTGATTTTAGTAACAAACAAAAGTAAAAGAATTTATTCAAATAATTCAACAGAAAGAAATAAGAAATAGTTTAGAATACAAAACGAAATAATACACTGTGGAATTCACGTGATGATGAATTCCTGGAACGGTATGCGGCAAGTCACGTTTTCTTCGGTAATATATCAGAACAAAAAACATAAGTTGTGTACACGGTCGGAGATTTAAACGGTGCGACTCGGTCAAGGCCGTTTCGCGGGCCTCGGTTATTTGTCTACTCGGAAACGTGTTTATAGCGAGAAGCGATTTTGATCGCGCGGAAAAGTCTCTTTTCTATGATAAAGAGATTTACAAAGTGTCGTTTCTTAACTCACTTTACCGGTGCGTGAGAACAAAGTTTACAATGTCGAGCGTTACTTTATTCTGGAAAGTAGACTTGTTCGGTCGGTCTCTTTAGGCTCGGTTGTTCTTACGGTCGCCTTCAGCTTATTCCCCTGGAACGGCTCCAACGGAAAGAGTCGGCGTCGCCTGACGGAGACTCACGCAGTCCCCTGGGCGGGTTTCCACGGA